GAACCTAATTCGTTCGGACACTGCAGGTGCAGGCTCCTGCTGCCCAGTCTGGCATCAAGAGCGCCAAGAGCGATCTGGGCAGTGCACTGTTGGAAGTTAATTTGGTGTAAACGTAGCTTTCAGAGGTCCCACATGCTACAGTGTGTGGTGTCCCTGTGCAGTCAGTCACTGGCTGCTCTGTTAGGAAGGCCACGCTCAGGGCGTAAATGTGACCTGTACAGTTCCTTCCAGAGTGCCCAGAGCTTTGAAGCCGTGCAGATAGTGAGATGGAATGCCAGTGTTCGTCCAATGGCCTTCCTCCTTTTTTTCCTCTCTTCCTTTCTGATCTCATCACTGTCCATTAGCTGCCAGCAGATTGTGGTGCTGGAGACTTGTGATACAATTAATCCCAGATATTGAAGTTCTGTCTTCACACTTTACAGCCTGAGTCAATTATTAAAAGTTTTCACTTTTACAAATGGTGGACACAGACACTAAACAGTCCTGGGTCTTTTCCATCTGTAAATAGACCGAATCCTCTTGTTTCAAATCAGAGTTGTTGGCATTGTGGCCAATTGTGGCTTTTCTGGTGAAAACACTAGATCTCTTCCTCTGTGTTTTGGACGCGTGAACAGGAAGCTGAAGCAGAGTACAGTTGTGTGCATTTAAGTCAGGATATAGGAAACCTTACCAGTCATCGTGGGCGACAGCCAGCTACCCAGACTAAATATCCCATCCAGATCCTCTGTCTCTGCGGCTGGCTTGGCACAGGCCTGATGGTCAGTGGGCTTTCTGTGTTGCCCCTTTGGGATGACACATGGAGCGCATGCTCAGGCTCACACCTGAAGTCACTCAGACTTGCCCTGTGCGTTCCTTCCTCGAATGACTCTTGGAGACAGAGGTAAAGATCATGAACCCCAGCTTGAACTGACTGGTGTCATGGCAACTAGCACTTCACCTTTTGCTGGCCCCCACCTCACACGTGCTACAATATTTGTGCACATTAATAATTCATTGCCAAGTGCCAGATTTCTTTGTGCTGTCAAGCTGTGTCAAGGACGGAATACACTGTGCTATCTCAGATGTCACCTAGCAGACTGTTGCGGGCAAGAGGAATTAGAAAGGAAAACCAGTCAGCTTACTGGAAATGCCATGTTTTCTAGTGTTTTTCTTACAAAGTAAGAGTCAAAGTTTATTTAATAATGTACTTCGTACCTCAGCCAAGTTTGCGTGTGGCAAGCCATGATTGCCCATATCCATTCAGGCAGCACAGCGGTGGCCATGAGCCCCAGTGCGAAGTCACGTGGAGATCATCAGGGTCAGGAGCACAGACTTAGGGACACGGGAGTGACCCTGCTGTGGGCACTGATAACTCAGGCTTGTCTCCACAGAGCAAAGGGGAACCTGCAGGCTGACTGTGTGGCCTCAGATGACTTCACCTCTTAATGTCAACAGCAAATTGTAATGGGCGTCACCAGGAGTGTAATGATTTGTAGCTTCACTTACAATTGGATACTTTGTAAATAACAGATGGGTGCCTTCACCCTAAAATGTAATATATACAAAGGCACATTCTGTTTCCTTCATACAGACATTTGCGCCTATTAGGTGAAGAAGTCATGTGCTTTAAATTGAACAATGACCAGTGGCACTTTAAAAATTCAGACTAGTACAGGTCTGTGTCAGAACAAAACACTCCTCCCCATATCTCACTACTGGACACTCAGTTCTCTTCAACAGTGTTTGTACTGCACACATAAAGACTAATTATATAGCCGTGTTTGAATCATTGTATTTCTGCCCCTTCCCTTAAACACAAAGTAGCTTCACTTTTGCAGACAACATTGCAGGTGGGTGGGATGGACCAAGGACACTAGAACAAATTGAGACCCAAATCATATTGTTTTTACACTTGTGTACCGACCGTCTCATGTGCTGGAGGAATGGGACCAGGTCCTGTCGCACTAATTGCTGCTCAGCCCGGTCATTGCATAATACCTGCAAATAATGGACGGTGAGGGGATGTCTGTCAAGTGGATAAATTGATATCACCAGACTCCTTCCTGGAGGGAGGAGGGGACATTAATCAGTTTCAGAGCTTTGCAACAAATTGCAGTTGAAGCCTAGTTGGGAACTTGTCACCTGCTTGTGCTCTGTACCCTGTGCTCTGCGCTGGGGATCTGGGCAGCTGCTCAATATCTGTAGACAGGACGTTAGCACATAAAGCCCGGCCTTCATCAGGGCCTCACCTACTCTGCTGTGCGGGTTTGCAGTCGGCCATTTGCAGAGCACAGCCACCTAAGCAAGAAGACCAAGATCTTACTGGCATGGTAGACTATGTGCGCTTTCTTAACATTGAATCTCAAGTCCTTGTACTTATCTACGTTAACAACTTTTAAAACAAAAAAAGTTGAAGCACTAAATTTATCCCTGTCTTTCAACACTAGGCAAACTTAATATAGACAATTCCTCCAACTCAGAAGGGTTTGACTTAGGCTCCTTTGACTTGTGATGATGTGAAATGGTGATGTGTTCAGAAGGAAGTGTGACTTGAATTTTGATGTTTCCCCAGGCTAGCGTTAGATGCTGCAGACCTCTGCACTTGTGTCCAGATGTAGGTTTACCCAGGTGCTATGAGCACATTTGAGATGGGCCAGGATAAGCCTGAGTGTCCAGTAGACTTGGTGTAGTACAGGCCCTTTCCACTGATAATGAGTTTATGGTCAGCTTATAGGTCCCTAGACACGACCTCAGATGAACCTGGAGCTGGGGAGATGGCTCCCTTCATAAGACGCTGCTGGACAAGCATAAGAAGTCGACTGGGATCGCCAGCAGCCACGTGAAGGCTAGGCTTGGTGGTGTGAATCTAACTCTGCTGCCACTAGCAGGGGACACAGGTGCATGCCTGGCATTCACCACTCAGCCTGTCTTGTCTTGCCAATCCAGTCGGTGGGCTCCAGGTTCAGTGAGAGACTGACCCTGTCTCAAAATCTATGGTGGAAAAGCAATGGAGGAAGATGCTTGATATTGTCCTCTGCATGCATGCACACATGTGCACCTTAACTCCACACACATGTGTACAGAAAACAGGCACACATACATACTTTTTAAATGGGCAAAGCTAAAATACAAGCTTTTGGCTTTTGAGTTCATCTGCAAACATTAATCTTAACTAGACATTTCAAAGCTATAGATACTCTTAAGACTTCATACTTAAGGATATATTTCCACTGTAGTTTGGAATGTATATGCTCCTCTGAAAATCGCTCTATTTCAGCTTTGTGATATAACAACCACCTGTGAGTTACGGCGCCTGAAGTCGAGCCTTTAAATGACCCAGAGTACCAGCTCTTTTGTGGTTTCAGGCTCCTGTTTACTGCTACAGAGAAACACAGTGAAACCAAAGCATTGGTGTTCCTGATAGCAACAGTGTGCTGGTCCCATGTGCTATGAGGGGGACTCTGTCCCAGTATTTGTAAAACTGGTTGATCAATGTCTCTGAGCTTGTCTGGGACAGCCAGATAAGAATAAAGCAAGCAGAATCAAAACTCTGTACAATACATAGTGACATGTGAGGGTGAATGATACACACTATACAAGTCTAAGAAGTGCAGGTGAAGTCAAGCCGGTCTAGAATAATATTAAACAGTATGGCGTGGATCTGTATTTGAATGGTGTTCATGCTATACAATGCTCTGGTTCAATCTCTGATATCACATACACAAGCACCAAAATACCTTCAATAAAGAATTACAGGGATTTTAAGTATTACCAGAGATATTATTGGAGATTCCAATGATATAGAGCATTTGAAAATAATTTAAAAACTAAGTAAATGAGCAATTAGTATTACACTTCGGCTTATATAGGACAGGGATGGGGGCAGATGAGAAAGAGCTTGGCATGGGTTCCAAAGGAGAACCAAACAAATGGGGTGGGGTCCTCTGTGACAATCCAGGAGACACTTGACAAAGACTCCTCTGGCAACGGTTCCATGAAGCGGAGCATGGGAAGCTTCAGAATTAATGGGACCACTGTTTTTGATCCTGCACACACGAGTTATCCAAACACTAGAAAATCATGCTCAGACTGACACCTTAGCAGGAGAGCGTTGGAAATGGAACGCAGCTCTTCTCCAAGGAGGCTGTGCAGTGTTTTGTGTTAAGTTCATAAATCATGGGGACCAGTGCTGGCAGTAGACCATAACTCAACAGTAGACAGATTGCTGTTCGCTGCTTTCTTTAAGAAGCAGGTTATAAAACCGCTGGGAGCCTGGTGGGATGGTTTACAGGTCATCTTAAGCAATTCAAAGGGTCTTTTTGTTTAAATACTGCCTTGTGTCTTGGAGACAGGAGATGGTAGTTTAGTAAGGAGTCCGTGTCATCTCTGATATCGCCACCTTGTTGTGGTCCTGCCCCGTCATCTGCTACCCTAAGTGGGAGAGACCCTGAAGGTACCCCACAAAGACTGCGATCCTTTGGAATGCTACAGGTTCCCAGCACGATTTGTCACTAAAATGGTTCTGTGTTTTATCTGTTTATGTTCTAAAATACCTCACCTCCTGCTAGTCTACTTTGACTGTAAACCTTGGGTGCTGTCACAGAGGGCTAGGGTGGCTCTTCATTCACGGGTCTGTCGCCATGGAAACATTGTCATGAGGAAAACAACAGTATAGGGCACCTGCTGGTGGGGAGTCTGGCAGTGGTTCATAGACCGGAACACAGCTGACCCACAAGGCATGGGCGGAAGGCCTCTGACCCAGGAGTGGTTCAGATTAGCAGAGCGCTATCACTTGAAAGGTGATAGCGAGCCTTCTCCTAATGACTTTCTTTTCATCCCTGGACCTCAGCTCCCAGAGCTCTTGGGTCCCAGCTTTGTTGGTCTAGGCCTAGCACAGCTATGCTATGGTGCTGTTAGCCGGACACAGACGGGAGATATTTTCAGGTGAACTGGGAAGTGTAATTTTTACAGCTCCGATATGTGGTGCGTCAGTTCTAAAGCTTGCATCTTGCTTCTTTCAGACCACTAAGGCCTTTCTTCCGACGATGCTAGAGATTAATCACGGCCACATTGTGACTGTCGCGAGCTCCCTGGGATTGTTCAGCACGGCTGGAGTTGAGGTTTGTCAGTTCCAAACTGTTTTCTTCACACACACAGTTGGGCTTGCAGTGAACACAGCATAAGAGACCAGGTGCTCCACCCCTTTTGGTCAGCAGTGTCTCCCTCTAACACAGGACCCGCTGTGGAGGAGGGGTCCTCCCCCGCTGCCCTAAAACTATTGGCACCGATTTACCAACTTGTCACAGTAGAGAGGAGGGCAGGCTCACGGAGCCCATTTTCATTAGCAACCTTGCTGGACGGTAGAAGGCTCAGGGTCAAGAATGGACCCGTGGAGTGACAAGCGGTATGAGGAGAGCAGCTAAGTGAGGTCAAAGGCTCACATTGTGTCTTGGTCAACCTTCCAAAAGTGAGGTGCCCGTTGCTAAGCTGACCAGATGAGGCTCTTACAGCCGGGGGTGGGCGCTGTATAATTGTGTAGAACTGGGCTGCTTGACCTATTCTCTACTGTGTTCAAATGATAAAACACGCGTACATTGTCCTGGAAGACTTGCTTTACAGATGCCTAGAAAATTGAAAACACCACTTCTTGCAAATATGTAAATATTCCTATACCATATGCCCCTCAGTTCTAGTTGAAGTTCAGAGGGTGTGGTGGCTCTTGCTATTTTAACATCACATCATTACAGCAAGTCCGAGTTAACTCGTCTTTGTTCTCCTGGTATTAATGTAAACAAACAGGTCTTTCAGTCTCCTCCGCTAAACAAGAGATCATCTGTAAAGTTTCCAGGCACTTCAAAGGGAAGCTCTCAAAGTTTTTCACTCCAGCCTTTTAGCCTTCATAGAACCCTTTGCAGTGATGTCCCCAGAGTAACATGATACTTGGTTGATGTGGCCAAAAGTGTTCTTCTGTTTCTTTCTGTTGTTGCCTGGAAAATGTTTGGACCACATCACATGTATGTCCTTTAAGACAGCTTCCTTCTCTTTGCTTGTTACCTGTAGCCTTTTGTTCTAAACCTCTAAACCCAAGCAGGACCAGGGCGCTGCACATAGATGGGAACGTGCACAAAGTCTCAGCCTTTTTGCTCTCTCTCTCTCTCTCTCTCAGGATTACTGTGCCAGTAAATTTGGAGTTGTGGGTTTTCATGAATCTCTGAGCCATGAGCTAAAGGCTGCTGAAAAGGATGGAATTAAAACAACTTTGGTGTGCCCTTACCTTGTCGACACGGGCATGTTCAGAGGCTGCCGAATCAGGTCGGTGGGAACCCATCTTCTTAATAGGGTAACCTTAGGAAGGTGTGTGGACTTGATCGGCCCTCAGCCAGTCTTGCACTTACCTGTCAGTAGACAATCAGCCTTAGCTGAGTGTGGTGGCAACATCTCTAGGGGCAGGGGCAGGGGCATTGTCACAAGTTGGAAGCCAGACTAGTCTACATAGTGAATTCCAGGCCAGCCAAGGCTGCAATGTAGTTCTCCAGTTACCGTCTGTGACACGGATGTGTGAGTGATAACTGATACTAACTTATGGGGATTAATTAGGAGTATCAGAAAGGAATGGGCGTCTCTTCATTCTTTATTTCTCTGCTGTTAGTATCAGCAGATAGATGGCTCCGGGAGAAAAGTCCTTAATGTTACTTTAACCTGGATATGAAACAATGTCACTGTCACAAAGGACTGGCGTGCCCTTTTCCCTAAAAAGACTAAATGTCACACTGCAGATTTGAGAGTTTTTCTCTGGCGAATGTGTATAGCTAGACTCAGCCCAATAAGATGAAGTCACTTAGAGTTACTGACAATGAAACCAAGTCCCCTCACACTTGGGAAGGGGGCACATGGTAATATAAATATCTAGACATCGGGTTTTGCTTGATGTGCTCTCCACACAATAAACACAACTGAATCAGCAGGGTTACTTGCTGGTGTGGAGATCTTTCCGTGGGTTAATATGTGAGGCAAAGGATGATGGTCAAGTCCCCGTTTGTTGGCGACTGTTCCGTAGACTTAATGACCCCAGCAAGTGACGGAGAGCGATTTGAGTCATTCCAGTCTCCAGCTGGCACTGAGTCTAGACTGAGAAGTTAGCTCTAGGGCCTGGGACGTGGTTCAGTGTTGGAGCATGTGCTTAGCCTGTGGAAGGCCTGGGTTTGGTTCCCAGCTCGAAAAGGAAAACGAGAGAGAGAAGAGAAATTAAATTCTAGGTCTGCCCCTTGTCCTTTGCATATACCTGTGTTGTACTGTGTGCCTGTGGTGTGTTAGTTTGGTTCTGCCTAGGAACCAGTCTGTTGCCCAGGGTCCCGTTTTCCACTTAGTATAGTGGTGGGTGCAGTGGTCCAAAGCTGTGATAAGACAAGGAGAGATTTAGTAAATTAGAATGAAGGTAGGCCCTCTACCTCAGGGACTCGTTAGAATATAGCTCAGCACCCCTTTGCCAGCACTGAGAAGTGTGGCTCTGGCAATCTCATACTGGAGAAGCCTGCACAGCTGCCTATGCACCATTTTGGCTATGTGAGACAAAACAAAAATACCGTGAAGGAAACAAATGTTCCGAAAATCTTGTTCCTCGGTTAACATCACAGTATTTTGGTGTTTTGTTTCCAGTCTTCCATGTTGTGTTAATTCTGAATTTCATTTTTCAATATAAATTTCCAGAAAAGAAATTGAGCCCTTCTTGCCCCCTCTGAAGCCTGATTACTGCGTGAAGCAGGCCATGAAGGCCATCCTCACCGACCAGCCCATGATCTGCACCCCGCGCCTCATGTACATCGTGACCTTCATGAAAAGGTAACTGGGGGCCCGCCCTGCCCGCCCCGCCCGCCCTGCATGCACTGCGGCCTGCATTTGCTAACTGTGCCCTTTCCTTTGCAGCATCCTTCCCTTCGAAGCAGTTGTGTGCATGTACCGATTTCTAGGAGCCGACAAGTGTATGTATCCCTTCATTGCGCAAAGAAAACAAGCCACAAACAATAATGAAGCAAAAAATGGAATCTAAGAGTGCTTTGTACAGAGTGCCCTGTCTGTCAGGAGAGTACTGACAGTCTCTGGGTTCTAACCCCACGGCAACTCTTTTTTTTTCTAATCAACTTTTTAAAAAATAATAAAATGTAAATTAACTGACTACAGTGCTTGAAACATGTGAGCTCGGGTTTTTGCCAATGGGGCCTTTTTTAGGCAGGGCCCTAAAAGTGAGCCCAGTATTTAGACAAGCACCATGTGCCATCATTGCTTTTTTTAATGAACAGACGGTCTAGAAATGATGACTATAGTATGTTTCATGTGTATGATTCTTCTGGATTCATTCATTCACTCATTGTGAGAGTCTAGCCAGCTGGCACCCTTGTGCATTCAGGGACTGCCAGTGCCATGTTTTGTCGTGTAGTTTGGGTTCTACTCACGCAAGTGTGGGTGGCTTGCTCACAGTGTCTGTGGGTTTAGCTCTTGTAAAGAGGGATGTTTGGTGTCCTTTTCAGACCAGTGCAGTCTGGACATCACAGAAGGCCAAAGGGCCTCTTTCTTATACTTACAATGACTAAAAAATTAGGTGATTTTTAAATTCCATCTCTGAAGCACTAAACTGAATGTTTAGAGGCCTGGTTAATCAAAACGATTATACATTTTGTACGTGTGCAGTTGGCTGCATACAGACAGTACCCTTTCCTCGGAGCTGCAGAGTCGTGTTGGGGGGAGGGGACCTTGTCTACAGAGCATAGAAGCTCTGCAAAGACAGTTTCTGCAAACGGGAATTTCTGCATTAAAAAGTCCCCACATCTGTGCCAACCCTGACTAGTGTGGGGAGCAAGTCTTGTGTGAAGTATCGTGGAAGGGTGTAAAGATTTCTTTGAAAGGTCTATTCACATTGTAGAACAGCAAATGACATTTTTACAGTATTTTTTTGTAAAGCAAACTATTTTGTGCCTTGAATTTGGTATGTGTGAATTAGTGAAACATTGTAAAAGTGAATCTCTACCTCTGTATCTACATGTGTACCATCCTCGTAAATGACTATGAACCATTATGTGATTGCTTTCGTTTGTTTGTGTTAGGATGTCTCGTTTAAACCATGACCAATGTTTAAGGCTGTTAAAATAAGCCTACTTTTACTAATCGGGAGGTTTTTCTAGAGGACTAATTAAATACTTACATAATTGACTGTGTGGTTATTAGTTCTCGGCAACATTATAAAGAAAAGTATTGTGGTTCTGTTTTTCTGTTTTTCTGTTTTTTTTTTTTTTTTTTTTTTTTTTTTAACCTCCTACCCTGTTCTGAGTTACTTAAAGAAAAATGTCCTGCCAGCCCCAAAGAAACACACAGGCTCTGTTAGTTACTAAACTGTTGGCCCATGGCTAGGGCTTCATTATTAAGCCATGTCTATAAATGTATGTATTTCCACGCTGTCTCACCTTACTGGAGAAGGATCTGAGCTGCTACTCCTTTGTGATCTACATGGCGACTATGTCTGCCTACCTTTCACAGAATTCTCGTCTCCTCACCCCACCTGTCTTCCTGCCTCATTGGCCAAACAGTGTTATATCCATCAACCAATAAGAGAAACATATACAGAAGGACATCCCCCATCAGATGGGGTCACCCTTAGGTTGGGTTTCATGTAGTCCAATCTCCAGTGTCGCATCTACATATAGTAGGTATTTCTTCAAGAACTTGCTTACAAATGTTCAAAGAAAACCCTATTGCCTGTATTAGTGTGGATGTGTCACTGTTCAGGGTCCCACATTCTGGAAAGGTCCTGGCTTGTACATTTGAATGGTAACTTTTTTTTTTTTTTTGGTATTCTAAGACAGTGTTTATCTGTGTAGCCAGAGACCAGGCTGGCCTAGAACTCACAGAGACCCACCTGCCTCTTGCCTCCCAAGTACTGGGATTAAAGATGTGAGTCACCACGCCAGGCTGGACTCTCTTTATAAATGACAGCCAGCCAGCCACGCCTTGAGGCATTGTAACAGTAAATGTACTGGCTGCTGCTTAATTTTCAATTATGGATTTAAATAAGCACTTTGAAGTGGTGTTCTAACAGTGTTGGGTGGAACAGCTATTTTCAAGTTCTTAAGGTCTTTCCACAGCTAGCCTAGGGTATACAAAGCCATCCTGGGGGAATTTCTGCTAATTTGATAGCCTGTTCATCAGCCTTAAAGCCAAAAACAATCCTTGTCACGTTTAATTTTGTTCTCACGTATTGGGATCTAATTCCAGTTTTCTTTGGTTTTCCCTTATAAAGTAGTCCATCTCCAAGTTCAATAATAAACCTAATTCATTTGACTTTTTTGTCTCTCATTCCCATGTCCCATCCCAGTGTAATGACTCCTGGGCCAACTGGAATTGCCCGCCAGTCTGTCCTGTGGTTGTGGATGTGGTTGATGGCAGATTGAGAACCGCAGATTCCTGCATGCTCTCTGCCTTCCCCTAGCACCATATTCAGTGTGGATGTTTGCACCTGTACATCTGTGTTGGTCTTCCTCAACTCCAGCTCCCGTTGGTCACATTTGTGATTGCAAGGCCTTTTCTCTGGCTGGCTGGCCATCTGTACCGAGGCCCCACCCCACCCCTATCCCCTTTGCCTCCCCTCCCCCACTGGCACCTTGACAGTAACGCTGCCTCTTGAGTTCTCTTTTCTGCCCTTTCATGTGAGTGCTCAGGCCACACGGCTGAAGGCAAGCCTCTGGGGAGCCCTGGCCCTGTCTTCTCTAACTTTCAACTGGTTTGAGGATAATCATATTGAGTAGGACTCAGAATCAAAAGTTTCAAAGCTGACAAAGATAAATTCCAGCTATTGTCACCCTCTTGATCTACTGGGTCTACAGCTCTGTCACATAAGATTAGCTTGACAGGATTGAACTACATAAAGCCAAAGCCAGCCTCTCTCTCTCTCTCTCTCTCTCTCTCTCTCTCTCTCTCTCTGTGTGTGTGTGTTAGTACCCTGTTTCTTTGAAAGGCTATACCTTTCTAATTAAACAAAAAAAGTGAGGTAACCCTTCCTTCCCTCCCTCCCTCTTTCCTTCCTGTCTGTTTTTGTTATGAGACAAGGTTTCTCTATATAGTCCTGGCTGTCCTGGAACTCACTCTGTAAACCAAGCTGGCCTCAAACTCAGATCTGCTTGTCTCTGTCCCCCAAATGCTGGGATTAAAGGCATGATGTTCCACCACCTAGTAAAAATATTTTTGGGGGTAGTTGTTTTTGTTTTTCAAGACAGAGTTTCTCTGTGTAGCCCTGGCTGTCCTGGAACTTGTTCTGTAGACCAGGCTGGGCTCAAATTCATGGAGATCCACCTGCCTCTGCCTCCCGAGTGCTGGGATTAAAGGCTTGAGCCACCACCACCACCCAGCTGTGAAGTACATTTTTCAGAGGTTATTTTCCAACTAGCAGAAATCATTCTAAGTTGCTGCTGACCTAGATCTTGGGGATTGGTTTTGCTTCCAGCAAAATCTAAAACCAGCAAGGATTGGGGGAGGTGGTTAAACCCTTTCTGTGCCAAATGCCTTGCACCTGCTGACAGAGATGAGTGGGGAAAATCAAAGCTATAAGGGCCAGAAGTGGCCAGGTCGTGGGGCCTGGGAACACAGAGGCCAGGTGTATCCACAGATAGCAGGCATGCGAGGTATCTCCACCAGGGACTGTTTGCAGTTAATTCCAATGCCAGTGCCTTTGTTTACTCATGGCATGCACGAAGCCTCAGACAGTAGTGAGGTCCCAGCAAAGTGGGAAGGGAAGTCGTGGAGCTGACATAGGGTTGTTAGTGTTCCAGGGAAGCCCCAGAAGTTATTCATTGTGGCTAAAACAGAACATGGGAGAAAAGCACCCCCCCCACACACTCAAAGAAGGTTCCGTCTGGGGAATAGCCATCATTCGGGATGGGAATCAACCTGTTTTGGTAAGGGAAGAAAATGAAATATTCAAACTGACGGAATCCACCAGGCTCCTGTGGATTCTGGAGACACCAAAAGTGAGAAGACACTGCAGTAGCCAGGTTGATGGCGAACGGCGGGGGTCGTGGGTTCAGCTACACAGATTTAGCCTGCCAGCTCTTGCTCTCGGGACTGAGAGCAGCCACGCTAGCCACGCTAGCCATGCTAGCCACAGGGACTCGGGTTGTTCTCAGTGGGAAGAGCGGGCTCCACACAGCTTTAGACACAGTGTGAGCCTATCGTCCGAGGAGGCTGGTGCAAGAGGGACAAAAAGTCCTAGACCTGGTGTGCTGCAGAGTGAGTTCAAGGCCTTCCTGTGCAGCTTAGTCACATTACGTCTCAGTAGAAAATGGTTGAGACCCCAGTACTGGGAGGAGGGGAAGGAGTTATGTTTGGGATGTAGGGTGATCGTCACTGGCCTGTAGCTAGACATGGACCCCTGCGCTTAGGCAGGAGACTGGTGCTGGGATTCTGGAGTCGTCGAAGCCATGAAATAGACAAATCTAGGTGGGGGACATGAGAGAGTAAGAAGTGATCTAGGGACCCAACCTGGCAGCAGGCCCTACAAGCTGACAGACACCCTCTCCTAAAGAGAAACCCCCTAGAAATGATGTCCTCCTGCATCTCTAGCCTGAGTGACAGACACTTCACAAACCTCAGTCTGTCCCAAGAAAAAGGGTGTGTGTGGCCAGCCCCGGGGCAGGGGCCCACAAGGTGAAGAACGGTGTTAGCAGGTTGCACGCGGTGTCTTTAACCTTCCACTTGGGCTTCTAGTGATGGAACCCATTGTTAAAACACCAGAGGAAATTTCCTTGCTCAGTGAAACCCGGAGGCTGTCTTCTGGCAGTCTTGCTAGCTTGGCTCCAGAAGCGGGGACTGTTTCAGTGTGCAGGCAATTTTTTCACGAGAACCCTGGGGCAAAGCAAAATACATTTCAAGATTCACCAAATGGATACTCAGTGGATTAAACTCATTCTCTATGCGGCAGTACATAAAATGGGAGCAGTCAAGTACCAGCAACGAGTTCCTATCTGGTCCCTGGAGCATTATCCTCGTTGGGAGCCAGGACCTGCCAGAGGCAGTGCCCAGATCCAGATGTACGTGCCAGCCCTCCAGAGAATGCCAAGGCAGTTTGAGGCCTCAGTTCAGCTCCTACGTTCTCTCATCTCTTCCTTAGTTTACAGTTACTTAGGGGGTGGCAGAGCACTCAGACATTTCAGGACCCATCTCTCGGAGGATGCTGAAGGACACATAGCCCCTCCTTCCAGCAAGTTCTGTGTCTCATGGATTATTTCTCGTTTACCTTGCTATGTTTCCATAGAAAACTTAACATAATGCCTTCCAGGAGCTCCGACCAACCCTTCTAGCTGTGGCTGTTGAAATCTTTGTTACTATGAGCCAAAAGCAAGAGTCTTGATTAGCAAGAAAAACAAAGCATCCTCAGCCCAGATTCGAAGCTTGAGGTTTTGCTGTCAGGGTGATTGAAACCATGCTGCAGGGAGAGATGTGTGTACCTAGCAGCCAAGAAAAATGCCCCCTTCCCTTGCCCATACAGCCTGGGTGGTCCACTGCAGGCCTCCCCTCCCCCTAGAGAAGAGCCTGGAACCTGGCTCCTTAATCCCGGCCACACACACACACACACACACACCTGCCCAGTCTTCAGCCAGCCCATCTCATACAGACCCTGAATGGTCTGGTGCTTGCTGGACAGGTGGTCACCCTAGGCCCAACATGGACATGTGTGTGTCAGCAGCACAGCATCCTGTAGTCGCCATGCAGAAAGACTGAAACGTGTCCTCCAAGAAGATGCAATGAACTCCTGGAATCGTACCCAGATGTGGAAATAGGATATCTGCAGATGGAGCCAAGATGAGACCATATTGGATCAGAGTGGCCCTAAATCCAGTCATTAGTGCCCTTACCAAAGAGACTTGCAGGGGCGAGGTATGTAGTCCAATGGGTAGAGTACTTGCCTAATAAACAAAAGCCGTGGGTACCATCACCAGCCCAGCATAGACGCAGGCATGGCATATACCTGTAATTTTGGGTGGAGGCAGGAGGACCAGAACCGTTACATAGTTGAAGGCCAACCTGGGATATACGAATCCCTGCCTGAAAAGGGATAGAAAGGGGTTGGGGGTTGGAGGTACAGGGAGAAGTGAGAACAGGCAGAGGCTAGAAACACCAAGGGTGTATACCAAGTACCAGGGGCGAGGGGAAAGGTCTAGAAG